GTTGTTTTGTTTGGGTAATTATAATTTTTAGAATCTGTGAATGATAAGCTTTTCCCTAAGATGTATCTACTTTGCTACTGTTATGATAAATATATTTTTATTTCGACAATAATTTGTAAAAAAGAAACACTCTTATTTGGCGTGCATCAAATGATTATCGTTGATTTTTGACGATTAACTTCATACAGTTGGATGTTTTAAAACATTGATACAAGTAACGTTTAACAAGGATGAGTATAATTTCTGAAAATTTTCTTCCTGCGTATATTTAATTTTTATAAATTTTCATCTATGTTAAGGCTAATAATCACGGAAAGTTGCTTTGTTGACGTACGGCGTTGAAGGTTATGATGTTATATGTAATTTAAACGCCTTAATGATTGAATATTAAAACTGTGCAAGCATTCTATTTTAATCTTTTCATTTCAACGAGTGAGAAAGACGAAGATTTGATAAATACGCATTTATGATTGCAGAATTTCCTAAGTTTGATATTCACCTTGGATATTACAGAATTTATAGAGTTGCCTTCAACGAATGAAAAGTTACTTCATGGATGACGGTAAGTTATATACAATCAAATTTATGCGAGACCCTCGTAAATTGTGTGTAAGCTATACATGCAAAAATATGGATATATTTACCAACATTTTATCGTAGAACATACATACATTTTATTTATCTTTTTATCTCGATAATCGTAGTCTAAAGATTTTATGTTTTTATGCACCAACTGTAGATATATCTTTAAGGTTTTTTATGAGTCGAATTTTATTGACTAAAATACTGTCACACGTTTGGTGACTTTTCAATTGACAGAACGTTACGAGTCTAAAGGTGAAAGAACGGAATATTACCCCGACTATGAAAGTAAGTTATACTATCAAATTTATGTATAAGGCACTTATAAATTGTATCTGCCATACGTAGTGATATACTTTCTAACATTCAACATATACTCCTTGATTATGCTTTTTCTTGTTATCTCGTCATCTCAGGATATTTTACATCTCCTTGCGCCCAATATTTTTAAGCATTTTCAATTCAAAATCCCTTCATGAGATTGTTTGTGTAAGATAATAATAATATCCATAATAACTATAAAAATAGCTTAAGAAGCATTTGTGCAAACTGGACGATTTTCCAAAAGCTATAATTCACAAAGTTCAGGTGTTAAACAACACAAAATAAGTCAGTTTTATGTTAATGTCGTCATCAAAATAGAGCTTTTGACAATTCAGATGAACTTTCGGCATACAAGTTTCAGGTACCGCGTAGGATCGATCATTGGGGGGGGCTCATACTCATATATTCATGTTTTAATCCTTAGAAAACAATGGATTTCAAAAGAACTTAAGCCTGCATATATGAATATATGAATATTAGCCCCCCCCCCCAATTATCGATCCTCCGCACTTTCAAACGTCACACTTTCAAACGTCACTTCCTGCTCCCCATTCCGTCCAAAGCGGTAAATCATACGGTAGCCAAAGTCATTATAAGAGAAACTCGTAGCTATTTTTGTGGTGTGTCATAGGCAATATTTACAGTCAGCCAACTTCCAAGGTTGAAAACTAACCACAGTTGCATACACTTTGTGGTGTGTCATAGGCAATATTTACAGTCAGCCAACTTCCAAGGTTGATAACTAACCACAGTTGCATACACTTTGTGGTGTGTCATAGGCAATATTTACAGTCAGCCAACTTCCAAGGTTGATAACTAAACAGAGTTGCATACACTTTATGGTGTGTCATAGGCAATATTTACAATCAGCCAACTTCCAAGGTTGATAACTAACCACAGTTGCATACACTTTGTGGTGTGTCATAGGCAATATTTACAGTCAGCCAACTTCCAAGGTTGATAACTAACCACAGTTGCATACACTTTGTGGTGTGTCATAGGCAATATTTACAGTCAGCCAACTTCAAGGTTGATAACTAACCACAGTTGCATACACTTTGTGGTGAGTCATAGGCAATATTACAGTCAGCCAACTTCCAAGGTTGATAACTAACCACAGTTGCATACACTTTGTGGTGTGTCATAGGCAATATTTACAGTCAGCCAACTTCCAAGGTTGATAACTAACCACAGTTGCATACACTTTGTGGTGTGTCATAGGCAATATTTACAGTCAGCCAACTTCCAAGGTTGATAACTAACCATAGTTGCATACACTTTGTGGTGTGTCATAGGCAATATTTACAGTCAGCCAACTTCCAAGGTTGATAACTAACCATAGTTGCATACACTTTATGGTGTGTCATAGGCAATATTTACAATCAGCCAACTTCCAAGGTTGATAACTAACCACAGTTGCATACACTTTGTGGTGTGTCATAGGCAATATTTACAGTCAGCCAACTTCAAGGTTGATAACTAACCACAGTTGCATACACTTTGTGGTGTGTCATAGGCAATATTTACAGTCAGCCAACTTCAAGGTTGATAACTAACCACAGTTGCATACACTTTGTGGTGAGTCATAGGCAATATTTACAGTCAGCCAACTTCCAAGGTTGATAACTAACCACAGTTGCATACACTTTGTGGTGTGTCATAGGCAATATTTACAGTCAGCCAACTTCCAAGGTTGATAACTAACCACAGTTGCATACACTTTGTGGTGTGTCATAGGCAATATTTACAGTCAGCCAACTTCCAAGGTTGATAACTAACCATAGTTGCATACACTTTGTGGTGTGTCATAGGCAATATTTACAGTCAGCCAAATTCCAAGGTTGATAACTAACCACAGTTGCATACACTTTGTGGTGTGTCATAGGCAATATTTACAGTCAGCCAACTTCCAAGGTTGATAACTAACCACAGTTGCATACACTTTGTGGTGTGTCATAGGCAATATTTACAGTCAGCCAACTTCCAAGGTTGATAACTAACCACAGTTGCATACACTTTGTGGTGTGTCATAGGCAATATTTACAGTCAGCCAACTTCCAAGGTTGATAACTAACCACAGTTGCATACACTTTGTGGTGTGTCACAGGCAATATTTACAGTCAGCCAACTTCAAGGTTGATAACTAACCACAGTTGCATACACTTTGTGGTGTGTCATAGGCAATATTTACAGTCAGCCAACTTCCAAGGTTGATAACTAACCACAGTTGCATACACTTTGTGGTGTGTCATAGGCAATATTTACAGTCAGCCAACTTCCAAGGTTGATAACTAACCACAGTTGCATACACTTTGTGGTGTGTCACAGGCAATATTTACAGTCAGCCAACTTCCAAGGTTGATAACTAACCACAGTTGCATACACTTTGTGGTGTGTCATAGGCAATATTTACAGTCAGCCAACTTCCAAGGTTGATAACTAACCACAGTTGCATACACTTTGTGGTGTGTCACAGGCAATATTTACTGTCAGCCAACTTCCAAGGTTGATAACTAACCACAGTTGCATACACTTTGTGGTGTGTCACAGGCAATATTTACAATCAGCCAACTTCAAGGTTGATAACTAACCACAGTTGCATACACTTTGTGGTGTGTCACAGGCAATATTTACTGTCAGCCAACTTCGAAGGTTGATAACTAACCACAGTTGCATACACTTTGTGGTGTGTCACAGGCAATATTTACTGTCAGCCAACTTCCAAGGTTGATAACTAACCACAGTTGCATACATTTTGTGGTGTGTCACAGTTAATATTTACAATCAGCCAACTTCAAGGTTGATAACTAACCACAGTTGCATACACTTTGTGGTGTGTCACAGGCAATATTTACTGTCAGCCAACTTCCAAGGTTGATAACTAACCACAGTTGCATACACTTTGTGGTGTGTCACAGTTAATATTTACAATCAGCCAACTTCAAGGTTGATAACTAAACACAGTTGCATACACTTTGTGGTGTGTAACAGTTAATATTTACAATCAGCCAACTTCAAGGTTGATAACTAACCACAGTTGCATACACTTTGTGGTGTGTCACAGGCAATATTTACTGCCAGCCAACTTCGAAGGTTGATAACTAACCACAGTTGCATACACTTTGTGGTGTGTCACAGGCAATATTTACTGTCAGCCAACTTCCAAGGTTGATAACTAACCACAGTTGCATACACTTTGTGGTGTGTCACAGTTAATATTTACAATCAGCCAACTTCAAGGTTGATAACTAACCACAGTTGCATACACTTTGTGGTGTGTCACAGGCAATATTTACTGCCAGCCAATTTCGAAGGTTGATAACTAACCACAGTTGCATACACTTTGTGGTGTGTCACAGGCAATATTTACTGCCAGCCAACTTCCAAGGTTGATAACTAACCACAGTTGCATACACTTTGTGGTGTGTCACAGTTAATATTTACAATCAGCCAACTTCAAGGTTGATAACTAACCACAGTTGCATACACTTTGTGGTGTGTCACAGTTAATATTTACAATCAGCCAACTTCAAGGTTGATAACTAACCACAGTTGCATACACTTTGTGGTGTTTCACAGGCAATATTTACTGCCAGCCAACTTCGAAGGTTGATAACTAACCACAGTTGCATACACTTTGTGGTGTGTCACAGGCAATATTTACTGCCAGCCAACTTCCAATGTTGATAACTAACCACAGTTGCATACACTTTGTGGTGTGTCACAGTTAATATTTACAGTCAGCCAACTTCAAGGTTGATAACTAACCATAGTTGCATACATTTTGTGGTGTGTCACAGTTAATATTTACAATCAGCCAACTTCAAGGTTGATAACTAACCACAGTTGCATACACTTTGTGGTGTGTCACAGGCAATATTTACTGCCAGCCAACTTCGAAGGTTGATAACTAACCACAGTTGCATACACTTTGTGGTGTGTCACAGGCAGTATTTACTGTCAGCCAACTTCCAAGGTTGATAGCTAACCACAGTTGCATACACTTTTTTATTTAATTTGAACAATAGAATTTTGATCATAGTCTCTTTTTGGCCATGAATTTTGATCGTCTTTTTTCTTTGATTTTTTTTCAGGCAGAAGTAAAAACGGTGAAGAAATTAAAGTTATTGCAACACTTAAAACAAGAGAATTACGTGTAAGTTTTTTCAATTCTGGGTGGGGTGTATTCTAGTCAACATTAAAAATTGGAACACAATCGTAGTTTGATTGAATTTTCATGATCTTCTCTAAACTCGTCGAAGTTCTATGTACAAATCCTCCGATGATAAGTATAAAAGTAAACAATTTTATTGGGAAAAATAAAAAATATATAAATGCGATAACTATACAGTAATTCCATGGAATTGGGAGTTTTTTTGGTGCGTTTTTAACCAGGAGTAAGGTTACGGATATTGTTGGGACTAAATCTCGTTGCTAACAAGTTTTCAAGATTGTCTATGACGTGTGGAGAGATCTTCATATAGTTATGCGTCACGGGAATTTATTTGTTTAAATGAAGTGGATTTAATGTTTATTTTATTAGCCACTACTTGGTCTATTCCATTCAATCAGCATATATTTTAATGTTCTACATAATACTTTTTATGTTCTACAGTTATGAAACGTTTAATAATTTGTTAATAAACAAGCGTTTACAAAACCATTGCAAGAACGTGTAAGAAAGCATAGAGAAAATAAATGATCATTTATCTTCTATAAGAGCTCACCATGGACTCATATTGTCAGCGGTATAATGGATCATATGCTAAAATATGGTGAGAAATGCGATAAAGAGAAAGTAAATTCCAGTTGAATGGTTTAGAAAATGAAATATTTATCTTTTCTGTTTTGCTGTTTGGACCAAATTTACGGTAATGTATTTGACAAATAACCGACTATTTTTTGTATTTCTTGTAACGTATTTGCTTATGGCTCACACCAAAGGCATTTTTGAAAGCATTGGCGTGTAAAATTTAAACTACGCCCTTTCAAAACTCCTCCAATCTCCGCCACCAAGGGTCGCCAGGTCACTATATATCTTGCTGTGATCTTTTCAAATTGAGAAAATTTATGTAGGTATGAGGACTTGCAAAACAAGTCATTCTTGTTGTTTTGATCCTTGTAGTCAGACGGTAGTAAAAACGGTGATGAAGTCAATAGTGTTGAATTACTTGAAGACCGGTGAATTTTTTGTAAGTTTTGCAGACTTAGTTGTATTGTACTCTCATCAATAGTCAATATTAAAAACCAGAACGCTTTAAAACGCAAGGTTGAATTTGCGGATTTTTTCATTCATTAGAAAATTCATTTTGTCAGAAGTTAAATTTGTTCACATAAAGCTTGTCTTTCTTCCTTATTTATATGTCTATTTTCCCAGTGCAAATCTTCAGATTATATTTTTAACAGGATAATTCTTTGAAACTCACCGGAATTAAAGTAAAAATTATTTAGACAATAACAATTCAAACTAAAATCATTTCATAATAATTGGTGTATTTTTTGTACAGTTTTTATTCTCAAGTCAAGATCCAGATTTTCTATTTCCAAAAAAACAAGGCAATAACATAGGTTTTACTTTGTTAACGTGTATTCATGACAAGAATGGTATGATATACGTGGCAGGAAGATCACACGCAAGCAAATTTTCTTATGAAAAAGAATATGCTTGGGAAGGATTTCAATACTTAGAGTTATAGGCTGATAAGTTTATTTCATAAAGGTGAAGCACCTTGTTGATGAGAATTAGAAGAATCAACCTTTTGAGATAGTTTATCATTAACCAATTATCTATGCTGCATTACTGCAATCTCGAATAGATTAAATGCAACTTTTATCAAATGTATATCTTTTGAAGCTTCCAAAGATTTAATCATGCGCATTTCCCGTATACTATCTAACTAAGGTCAACGGATTGTAAGAATTTGATTCTTGGTGCATCTTGTGGTTCTCTTTTGACACAGATTCATTGAGCTGTAGACCTGAACTTTGGGGTTTATAATAAGTTTGTCATGTAAGTTGCAATTTACAATGCATTGTGACGTGTGGGTACCTCCTTATTTGGAAACTACATACGAATTAAGATTGGACTGCACCAAGGGCTTTGTACTACGAGACATTTTAAAATTTTTTGATCCTGGTCAACCTCATTTACTTCTACAGTAAAAAAGTTATTTTGTTGTTTGGTTTTCTTTCCTAGAAAAATCATTATTTACTACAAATTCGTCAATAAAATGCTGAGGTTTTTTGAAAGCACGTTTCGGTATTGACGCATCTTTGTTTATGCATGCGTAATTTTGCTCAAATATGTATTAGACACGAGTTGTAGCAAATGTCCCAATTTATATATATTAATCTACGACTATGTGCAACTCTATGCAAGACAGGTAATCGATATAGTTTGATGGTTCTGATCTGACGAGAACAGAAATGTTTGTAAATGTAGATCGTCCAGGCTGGTATAATCCTGAGAAGGACTGTTTTTGTTGTTGTTGACTCAAAAACAACAAAAACAGTCCTTCTCAGGACTAGACCAACCTGGACGATCTACATTTACAAACATGTAACGATACTCCCGGGTTCAAACCATTTACTTTATTGAGAACAAAAATGGTAAAGAAATCAAAATTTGTGACACCGTTAACTCAAAGATCGTCACATTGATTGTAAATTTTCCAGACTTTGTTGTATTGTTTTCTTCTTTGCGTGTTTCAACACCTGTGTATAAAAATACTAGGAAAAAAGATACTCAAAAGAAATCAGACGAAAAGTTTTTAATGCAAAATATTATATTCAATTTCAAGTTGTCGCATCTTGCGTTGTCTTCATATGATAAATAATGTATTGTAATTATAAGAAGTTTACAGAATTAGAAGAATTAAATGTTGTCTTGATGCGTGACTTTCGTGACTGTGGCAGTGGGGGTTTGCAACGTGTAATTACCGACAAACACGTGGTTGGTATATATATCTTGATGAATACTTTGCATGACGATACAAAAGTATGTCGCTCCAGACTTTTCCTGCGACTGACAAGCTCCATAAAAAGGAGTATTTCGCCTATATTAAACAGCCTTAAAAATGGAGCGATTTGAGAAACTTAAAAATTTTTTTACTAATACGGTGGAAATCACTCCTAAATTCAATGTTGCTGAAATGGGCACTTAAATGAATTAATTCACTTACGAAACTTATCGGAAGGGAATGTTAAAAAATTCGTTGTCGAGAACTGATTTACCTTCAATTTGCAAAATTGCCCTATCTTTAACCTGTTGGTATATAACATCCTACACACACTCTTCGTACATATTACTCAGATCTCTCATTTGCTTGCTCTAAACTTCCATAAATGAATTTCCTCTATTGTAATTTTGAAACTAAAGAGTGGACTGAATAAAGCTCATAATTTTGCCTTATATAGTTAAACAGTTTAAATTTGATGTTTGGCGCATAAAAATAAGTACAATAAAGAAAAGTTTGCTGTTCACATGAAGAACATTGGAGAACTTGGATAAATTTTTGCGTGACTACTAGAAGAGATCTAGCTTTCACGGTTCCAGCAGTTATGGGTATCTTGGAAGAAGGGAATTCTTCTATGAATAATGGCGATTATGAAACGGCTATTGAACATTACAATAATTGTGTAAAAGTTGCAGACGAGAACAGCATCAAAATGATGGCATATTTTGGTCTTGGCAATGCTTTCACACTCTCTGATAAACGGAAGGAAGCAATAAACTGCTTTAATGATTGCTTAAATCTTTCTTCTGAACTGGAAATTAAATATTTTGAACATCAAATATACCTCGGGTTGGGGAGTATCCATTCTACCACTATAAGATTGGAGGACGGTATAAAGAAAGAAGAAATAGTCTGTCTCTGTCATGTTGCATTGGGAGGATTGAATAAGTTGCTTGAAAATTATGAGAAATCTTTGGAGCATTATAAAAACGGATTCTCTTTTATTGATTGTGAACACCAAGAAGAAGAAATGCAATCTCCACAATGGAAAGAAAATCAAGAAGGAAATCAACAAGAACAAAATAAACGGCGTGAACGACCGCGACGACCAAGAAAAGTTGGTGGTATTAACGTTAGTAAAGATTTCGTTAAACATAACTTGAAGAACTTGTCAATTGTTTCTTCAGCTGGAATTGTCAGTGGAGTGTTGGCTGTTTTATGGGAATTAGCAGAATTGTTTGATAAACTTGAGCAATATAGGGAAGCAGCAGAAATTTATGAAATGTATCTGGAGCTGGTCACAAAAGATGAAGATATAGAAAAACAAAAGAACGTCATGGAGCGTCTGGTGCAAATATACGATGAAGAAGAGCGTTATTACTTAAGGGATTCTATGACGACGAGATTACAAGAGTTTCGTGAAAGAAAAAAGAACCAAGGTACAAAATGCACATGAATTCAGCTTAATTAAGAGACAAATTTGCCAATTAACAAACACTATAAATTTAAGGTTGAAGATTGAAAATATCTCCTTTGAAATCGTTTAGCATGAATTCAATGTGGAATACGCACTCTTTTTTAACGTTTATGCAAAGTAGCTAATAACTTTTCGTTTAGTTACAAAAACTACTCTTAGTTTTTTTTCCATTTTGCAAAACAATACCCTCATGATATGAGTAAAAGACCCGGGTGAGATTTCCCGTTTAAGAGCTTTTTAGAGCCATTCTTATCAGAACTCATTGCTTAAATAAGTGGTCGTAATATGTTTATTTGTTGTTTTTGTAAGTTTTTTTACACAGATTGTATCTGCTATCTGAATCGTTGGTGCAATAGGAAAACTCGAGCACTGCTATTTATTTATTATTTGACTTTTTAGCTACAATATATTACTCTCTCTACAAATGGAATACTTTTACTTCTATTTTAGATTTGCAGCTGCATGAATGGAAATACAATGATAAATCGACAAAACATAAAGAATTGCTCTTAAAATTAATTGAGTATGGGAAAGACCCTAATGTTGAGGTTAAACATGTGAACGATGTACGTGTAATTTTCTCAGAAAAGTTTTGCATCGGTAGAGGAAGTGATGGAACCCGTGTTTATCTTGGACTGGGAAAGGATGGTTACGGTAAAGCAGTGAAGCGAATTCTTCGTGATAATACTTATTTGGCACAGCATGAAGTAAAAATTTTTAATGAAATCAATGATAAGAAGTCGGATTATGTGCTAAATTGTTATTGCTCGAGACAAGATAGAGAAACAGAATATGTTTATTTAATTCTCGATTTATGTGAAGAATCGTTGGAGGATTTTGTGCTATCCGAATCAAATAGTTTAGATTATCTTCAAAAATCCCTTCCCGACATTTTGAAGCAAATATTGAACGGCTTAGTTGATCTTCACAGAGGTGAACGTCCCATTCTTCATCGTGATTTGAAACCTTCCAATATTCTCCGAGACACACAAGGCAAATTTTTGATAGCCGATTTTGGTATTAGTCGAATTATGAAGAATGGCTCTCAGACATATGTAAGCGATGCTAATAGGGGAACTCCGCATTGGATTGCCCCTGAATCTTATATTGAGGATATAAAATTATTTGATAAAGCACGTTACAAAACAGAATCTGATGTAATGGTAGGTATTGGGTTGTTACTATTTGCAAATTGTACGTAAATTAAATTTTTACATTTTACGTACTCTGTTATGTTTAATTTATTTTAGAATGCAGGAATGGTGGCTTATTTTGTTGCAACAAAAGGAAAACATCCTTTTGGTACTAAAGTGTGCATACTTCAAAATTTGTTGGATGGAAAACCTGTTGGCTTAAAGGAAATCAGTAATTTCGAACTAAATGATCTTCTTTCATGGATGCTACAACATAAACCCGAACTCAGGCCATCTGCAAAGGAGGCGTTAAAACACCCTTATCTACTATCTGATGAAGAAAAGTTTGACTTGCTGTGTGAAGTTGGGAATCAACCGGAGATAGAGATACCGCATTTAGATCATCCTCTCAGCTCAGATGTCCATGAGCAGTTAAATGGTCTCAACAATTGGATGAACCGTCTCATTCATGAATTCGATGATCATTTCAACAAGAAACTCTACGACTCTACATGGTTAGGATGCTTAAGATTCATACAAGACGTTAATCAGCATTGGCATGATGAGCATCGTTCAAAACTGTCACCATATATCAAGGAAGGCAACTATAAAGAGTATTTCGTAAGGGTTTTACCAGAGCTTCCTCTTCTGGTGCACAGAATCATGGGGTTAAACGAATGGATCTTAAGACCTGATATGGAAAAACGTGTTCCTAGTAAGTTACAGCCATAGAAATAATTCTTCAGTTTTAACGATATTGCTAAATTATATGCATTTTCCCACTGTAACGTCGGAACATAATAGGGTTTTCTACTTGTTTGCAAAAGCAATTTTTTCTCGTGAATCGTAAAAATACTCTCTTTCCTTATAAATTCTTTGCATTGTTTGTCCGGAGCACTTGTGGCGCTTGTGGCGCAATTTATTTTAAGAGTATTTTTAGTCATGTAACTTTTTAACATTCAGATACTAAATTTCATATTTTATGTTAATGTGAAAACGAAGTGTGTTTTATCCATTGCAGAATTGCTCAATCTAGTATAGCAGATCTAGCGTTTGTCAAAATGAATTATAGATGCTCAATTTTAAATTCAAAATATATTCAAACCAAAACTATTGAATTTGAATTTCAAAAATTAAACTTTATCAATGGACTTGCCTCTATGTATTTGGAAATGGAAATATACCAAGCATGAGCTGCAGCAATTTATTTTGACGTACCCTAGATCCGCCACTGGCTTTATTGAGTTAAAGGTTGGTATGGTCATGCAATGAACTAATCGTGGAACGTCGATTATTGGGCGTGAATTGTATGATGACCAACTCATTTCTACCGGAGTAAATTTTATATCCATATCAAGTTAAAACATCCGTGTTTTCTCATCCAGAGAAAAACACATCAATGTTATATGTTATGTGATATTGCCAAAACAAGTAAAACTGTGAATTGCAGAATTTATTACTTCTCCTTTAAGTTCAAGAATTGTTGCGTCAACCATGGAAATGTTTTGATAAATCAATAATGCATCGGGAAAGTTTAAAAGATGGAGGAATATGGACGCAAACATCCAGAAAAAGTTACACTGCTCAATGAATTGCGTGTAATTTTCAAGAAGGAGTTTTGCTTGGCAAGGGAGTGATGGAACCCGTGTTTACCTTGCCCTGGGAAACGATGGTTATGGAAAAGCAGTAAAGCGAATACGCAAAGATAGCGGCGTAGACTATACAAATCGAGAAAAGAAATTTTGAATGAACTTAAAGCAAAGCGATCAAATTATGTTGTGAATATTTGGCATTTAGAAGATAACCTTGACGAAGAGTATTTGTACATGATATTAGATTTGTGTGAAGAATCGTTAGAGAGTATGTGAAATCTTCTTCTTTGCAAGATCTTCAAAAGCACTTCCTACAATTCTTATGCAGATTTTAAAAGGTTTAGCTGATCTTCACAGCGGTGAGCGTCCTATTCTTCATCGGGATTTAAGACCATCAAACGTTCTTCGAGATGTACAAGGAAATTTTTTAATTGCTGACTTAAGTATAAGTCATATGTTATCTATTGAAACTCCGACGCATTGGAGCATACAAAGAGGAGCTAAATATTGGGTAGTTCCAGAGTCATATGACGAATCAGATGCATCAATAAATAAAGTTCGTTACCAAAAAGAGTCTGACATTATGGTAAGTTCTTGAAGTAGAACTAGAGGTCTAACTACAGCTCAATGTTTTATTTGCATTTAATTAAATACTGGTATTTGGTAGTGATAATGATTTTACCTCAATTTTTTTCTTTACCTCGATTGTATCGTCATATATTGTCAACCTATAAAGTTAAATGAAAATAAATTAGTTTTTGTTAATCGTGTTACAGTTACAATTGTATGTTCCTTATTTAGATTGCTTTTAATGCATATATATGGCTTCAATTCTATTTGGGGAATATTTTTGATTTTTGAGCTGCACATTTATTGTTGAGTTCTGCAAATCGCAAATAAATTTAATCTTTAAGGTTTTAGTATCCACCACTGACTGTTTATGACAATTTTTTTAAATAGATTGCAGGAATGGTGGCTTATTATGTTGCAACAAAGGAAAACATCCTTTTGGAGATGAACGGCATAGACTGGACAACATTTTGAATAGAAATGCAGTTGGATTGGACGAAATCAAGGATGCCACGCTCAAAGACCTTCTTTCGTGGATGCTACAACATTCACCAGAAGACAGGCCATCTGCCAATGAGGCGTTAAAACATCCTTATCTACAATCAGACGAAGAGAAATTTAACATGCTGTGTGATATGGGGAACCAACTGGAGTTGAAACATTCACATGGTCGAAATTCTCCCATTTCAGATGTTCATACGCAGTTGTATGGTTCCACAGAATGGATGAAGCGTATCGATGATGAAGTCCTCAAAGATTTGATCAACTTTGAAGTAAACGACAGTATAAGAACTGTTATGTACAAGTCTGAATGGGCAGGATGCTTAATATTCATACGAAACGTTCACCAACAATGGCAAAATAAAACTTCTTCTTATCTATCACAACATTTAAAGCAAGGCAATTATAAAAAATATTTTCTGCAACGTTTTCCTGAACTTCCTCTTCTGGTGCACAAAGTCATTAGGTCTACTCACTGGAAAACTAAATCTGATCGCAAGAAGCATTTTGACAGTAAGCAACAGCTATTAAAATAATTTGTCATTTAGATGATCGCAAGGTATCAAATGTGTTAATTCTAGATGCTCGATGGCAATAAATTGACTTTTCAGTTTAATATGAAAAATGGTATTAAACATAATGTTTTAACCCCATGATCATTCGTTTAACCCCATGATCATTTCAACAAGAAACTCTACGACTCTACATGGTTAGGATGCTTAAGATTCATACAAGACGTTAATCAGCATTGGCATGATGAGCATCGTTCAAAACTGTCACCATATATCAAGGAAGGCAACTATAAAGAGTATTTCGTAAGGGTTTTACCAGAGCTTCCTCTTCTGGTGCACAGAATCATGGGGTTAAACGAATGGATCTTAAGACCTGATATGGAAAAACGTGTTCCTAGTAAGTTACAGCCATAGAAATAATTCTTCAGTTTTAACGATATTGCTAAATTATATGCATTTTCCCACTGTAACGTCTGAACATAATAGTGTTTTCTACTTGTTTGCAAAAGCAATTTTTTCTCGTGAATCGTAAAAATACTCTCTTTCCTTATAAATTCTTTGTATTGTTTGTCCGGAGCACTTGTGGCGCTTGTGGCGCAATTTATTTTAAGAGTATTTTTAGTCATGTAACTTTTTAACATTCAGATACTAAATTTCATATTTTATGTTAATGTGAAAACGAAGTGTGTTTTATCCATTGCAGAATTGCTCAATCTAGTATTGCAGATCTAGCGTTTGTCAAAATGAATTATAGATGCTCAATTTTAAATTCAAAATATATTCAAACCAAAATTAGTGAATTTGAATTTCGAAAAAATTAAACTTTATCGATGGACTTGCCTCTATGTATTTGGAAATGTAAACATACCCAAGCATGAGCTGCAGCAATCTATTTTGACGTACCCTAGATCCGCCACTGGCTTTATTGAGTTAAAGGTTGGTATGGTCATGCAATGAAATAATCGTGAAGCGTCGATTATTGCGCGTGAATTGTATGATGACCAACTCATTTCTACCGGAGTAAATTTTATTTCCATATCAAGTTAAAACATCCGTGTTTTCTCATCCAGAGAAAAACACAGCAATGTTATATGTTATGTGATATTGCCAAAACAAGTAAAACTGTGAATTGATGAATTTATTACTTCTCCTTTAAGTTCAAGAATTGTTGCGTCAACCATGGAAATGTTCTGATAAATCAATAATGCATCGGGAAAAGTTTAAAAAGATGGAGGAATATGGACGCAAACATCCAGAAAAAGTTACACTGCTCAATGAATTGCGTGTAATTTTCAAGAATGAGTTTTTGCTTGGCAAGGGAAGTGATGGAACCCGTGTTTACCTTGCCCTGGGAAACGATGGTTATGGAAAAGCAGTAAAGCGAATACGCAAAGATAGCGGCGTAGACTATACAAATCGAGAAAAAGAAATTTTGAATGAACTTAAAGCAAAGCGATCAAATTATGTTGTGAATATTTGGCATTTAGAAGATAACCTTGACGAAGAGTATTTGTACATGATATTAGATTTGTGTGAAGAATCGTTAGAGAGCTATGTGAAATCTTCTTCTTTGCAAGATCTTCAAAAAGCACTTCCTACAATTCTTATGCAGATTTTAAAAGGTTTAGCTGATCTTCACAGCGGTGAGCGTCCTATTCTTCATCGGGATTTAAGACCATCAAACGTTCTTCGAGATGTACAAGGAAATTTTTTAATTGCTGACTTAAGTATAAGTCATATGTTATCTATTGAAACTCCGACGCATTGGAGCATACAAAGAGGAGCTAAATATTGGGTAGTTCCAGAGTCATATGACGAATCAGATGCATCAATAAATAAAGTTCGTTACCAAAAAGAGTCTGACATTATGGTAAGTTCTTGAAGTAGAACTAGAGGTCTAACTACAGCTCAATGTTTTATTTGCATTTAATTAAATACTGGTATTTGGTAGTGATAATGATTTTACCTCAATTTTTTTCTTTACCTCGATTGTATCGTCATATATTGTCAACCTATAAAGTTAAATGAAAATAAATTAGTTTTTGTTAATCGTGTTACAGTTACAATTGTATGTTCCTTATTTAGATTGCTTTTAATGCATATATATGGCTTCAATTCTATTTGGGGAATATTTTTGGATTTTTTTGAGCTGCACATTTACTGTTGAGTTCTGCAAATCGCAAATAAATTTAATCTTTAAGGTTTTAGTATCCACCACTGACTGTTTATGACAATTTTTTTAAATAGATTGCAGGAATGGTGGCTTATTATGTTGCAACAAAGGGAAATCATCCTTTTGGAGATGAACGGCATAGACTGGACAACATTTTGAATAGAAATGCAGATGGATTGCACGAAATCAAGGATGCCACGCTCAAAGACCTTCTTTCGTGGATGCTACAACATTCACCAGAAGACAGGCCATCTGCCAATGAGGTGTTAAAACATCCTTATCTACAATCAGACGAAGAGAAATTCAACATGCTGTGTGATATGGGGAACCAACTGGAGTTGAAACATTCACATGGTCGAAATTCTCCCATTTCAGATGTTCATACGCAGTTGTATGGTTCCACAGAATGGATGAAGCGTCTCGATGATGAAGTCCTCAAAGATTTGATCAACTTTGAAGTAAACGACAGTATAAGAACTGTTATGTACAAGTCTGAATGGGCAGGATGCTTAATATTCATACGAAACGTTCACCAACAATGGCAAAATAAAACTTCTTCTTATCTATCACAACATTTAAAGCAAGGCAATTATAAAAAATATTTTCTGCAACGTTTTCCTGAACTTCCTCTTCTGGTGCACAAAGTCATTAGGTCTACTCACTGGAAAACTAAATCTGATCGCAAGAAGCATTTTGACAGTAAGCAACAGCTATTAAAATAATTTGTCATTTAGATGATCGCAAGGTATCAAATGTGTTAATTCTAGATGCTCGATGGCAATAAATTGACTTTTCAGTTTAATATGAAAAATGGTATTAAACATAATGTTTTACGTCTCTTTCATTTGATATGAGCCGTGCGGTTGATCCTTAGTTAATTTTTTTATATGTAATACACAGTCTTGGAAAGAGTGAAGTCTTTAAAAAAAATTCTTGAACAAGGATTGCAAAATTAAAGAGGACGTGCATAAAAAATTAAGAAGGTATGTGTTTCTCATCTTTTTCATTCATTTGACATGGCAAGCAAGCTTCGCACTGCTTTACTGTCAAATACTTTTGTTTTTAACTTTTACAGTTTATCTTGGCTTTGTGGCAATTATGGCATAGCTCGTCTGACTAGTGAGATGCCATATCTTCATTTGTACCTCAAAGTCAATAAAGCAAAGACAGACGGCGTCTTGAGACTCGAAATTGATAATACATTATTTTCCAATGCTTCTGAGTTCATTGAATTACGCCATATCGATCCATCTTACGAAATAAGAATTCGACCGCTGTCCAACATACCTCACTCCCATGATGGACAAAAACCAAAAATCATTATAGTTAATAATAATAAGCTTACTAAAGTAAATGGTTTGAACCCGGGAGTATCGTTATATGTTTGTAAATGATGATCGTCCAGGTTAATAAAGTCCTGAGAAGGACTGTTTTTGATGTTGTTGACTGACGTTAATAAGCTTACTGCAGCTAATTTAGAGAAGCAGAGTTCTTTTGATGACGTGTACAAGTCGCTGTTAGAAAGACAAGAAAAACAAGAAGAGATACGAGTTTATAAATTTGGTGACGAGAAGGGCGACAAAGTCGGCTCAAACATCATTGCTGACCTCAGTCATAGCGTTCTTGACAACAACAAAAAAGAAGAATTTCGCGACTTGATAGCTGTAAAGAGTGATTACGAATTTAAAGACTTCTCTCGCCTGGGATAAATAGTTTAATGATAAATAATTAAGAACATCGTGTATTTGTTCAGGATTTGTTTACACTATCTACTCATAAGTTTTATTGTCTCGCTTTTAAATTTAATGACTTTTCATTTAAACATTTTCTCACTCGATACTGAAGTCATATAATTAATTATGTAATATATACTGTGAAAAATTGTAATTTCCGCAAATGGATATGATTACTTAAAATATTTATAATGGGACTGAAAATATTACTAATTCGAATGTATAATCATGTAGTGGCAACGTATCCCTCGCAATACATGGCATTCATCTTGTTAAATGAATTAAAATTGTATGTTCGTCATTCGTATTTTGTTAAATATATGCATGGCTGCGACTCAAAATTATTTAGATTTTTGAGCGTTGGAGATTTACCTCATCGCAGAATACAGCGAGGACTTAAGAATTGAATAACTCCAGTCATATGATCTATCCAGCATCCAATCATCAATGTATCTTGCTACAAGAAACAGTCTGATGTTCTGATAAATGTTTGTTGTGGACATTTAAATTTAGTTGAATTCTGCAAATAACAAATAAAATTAATTTTTGACGTTTCAGTATCCACCGCCACTAACCTTCTAACTGTTATGATGTTTTTATAGATTTTAGAATGTAGGAATAGTGGCTTTTTACGTTGAAACAAATGGAAAACATCATTTTGGACCTGAACGGTTATTTTTTTTTCATAAATGTTTTCAGTATGAAAGCTAGTTGATATTGGCAAATAGTCGAAGTCAAGTATTTAAAGTAGCACTTTATGCAATGGTTTGTCAAATTTATTCATTGAAATACAGATCATGTTTCACTTCCTCCAAAGATTTGAGAATTTTTTGACAAATCTTCCTTTTCCCTTTGCTTTTGATTATTGGATATATCCAGCTGTTTGTACACCTGCCATTTCAACATCATGTCAAAATGCTTTTTGATGATTCTCCGCTTACTTTGTAAATGGAAAACACCCATAGATTTGCATATTCCATTCTACAATCAGGAAGATTTCGTTCGCAAGCCTGTTATGGTCATTCTCAGTCCTACTCGTGTTACAGTTCATTACCGTTCGCATCAAATTATCTCAAGAGCTATTTAAAATATCAGCAAAATATACGCATAAACCACAGTCCTGTGTTTTTCTACTGTAGAAGCCCAGCCAGGCATTTCTACGTTGACCGACATTTTTGCTACTTGGAGTGGACTTGGATGAAATCAAAGATGCCACACTAAAACCAGAAGACAAGCCATCTGCAGACGAAAAATGTTATGTATAAAGTTGGAAAACAGCAATCGATTAAAACAAATGTCTGTGTTAAGATAAAATGCAAAATGAGTGGCAGGCGCTTTTTCCGGCACCCGTGTCATAATTCACCAGATATTCAA